CCCCAAGTTCCTGAGGGCCCCATAAAACTCTGTTTACATGTATGCTTATTACAACTATTCCTTATTTGTGTCAGGGTTTGGTTGTGGTTTGAGGACCCAAATGCAGAGGCAGGGAGGCAGAGGTGAGTTTCTTGTGTATTTAATTAAAGATAAACAGACAGCTGAGGCAGGAATCCAAATATCCAAATAAATCAAACAGGAAAAAAGTCAAACAAACCAGAAACCATGGAGACATCAGGGGGAAACAATCACGACAAGGAAGACACAGTGAGACGGAGTTGGAGGAAGTTAGACCAGCACTGAGGAACTGCACAAGGAGTGTGTTTATGGGAGACTGAACAAAGAGAGGACTAACGAGCAGATTGGGAGCAGGTGTGAACAGAGCAGGCAGGAAAAGGACCTACGGAAAAAGGAGAACACAAGAGGGCATCAGAGGGCAACAAATAAAAACCTAAAAACTGAAATATAACCAGAAAACACAACCAAATGAGAATTAAAACAATAAAACTAGAAAACATGGAGCAAAGTAAAACTGAATACTCAAAAGAAAACATAACAGGACCAAGACTGTGACAATTTGTGCATATTATGTTTTTTTTACAAAAATCCTGTTGCTAAAAGGCCATCAGAACGGTTTTAATATATTGTGTGTGTCTTTGCCAACAACATATAAAAGCAGCGAACTCTGCTCTCCAGAGCCAGTAGATTGGTAACCCGCCTCCTGCTCTCCTCTATCTTGTCTGCTGTTATGATTCGTGCAGCTATTATTTCATCCAAATGAAAAATGGAGAACAGATAAGCAGATCATGGCTTGCCTACAGTGAAAAGAATGACTGTTTACTTTTGCCTTTTTGGAAACATGGGAAGGAGCAATCGACTAAGTGAGCTTAGCGCTTGGAAAAAAATCTTTAATCCCATTTGAGACAGCATGAAAAGTCAGCTGAGTGCAAAACATAGTGATGAAAACAAGAAAAAGGACAAGAAGAGAGGGACAAAACGTAGAACAAATAATGTATGTCTATTCTATTAAAATTTCTGGATCTGTATAATGGGTCTGTTTTACGTGTTGTTTTCCCAATTCAGGGGGCCCCCTGCATATTTTTGCCTAGGGCCCAAAGATTTTCTAAATCCGCCCCTGGGTGCATGCCATGCTTTTTGGCCATGGCACCCCGCCTCAGAATGCAAAAAAAGTCAAAGTTAATCTCTGTGTTATACTAAATATGAGTTGAATCATCTTTTTTCTTCATTGTACTAAAAAATGGAGATTTGATGAAATTTTACCTTCTCTTTAATATTCTAGATACCAGTCACCTTAGCACCGTTGTGTCAGAGGCCTTCGTCCGCTTCTTTGTTGAGCTAGTTGGACACTATCCGCTCTTCATCACTGCTGAACGTGAAGACGGCTATTCCTCCTCCTCCTCCTCCTCTCCTGCTCCCTGCTCATTCCATCGTGAGGGGTTCCGGAAAGCGATCCCGTCCAAGACTGTGCGTCGTTTCTTGGAGGCGTTCATGGAGACCCAGATGTTTGGCTGGTTTATCCAGGAGAGAGAGCTCCATCGGCAGGCTCTGAGAGGTACTTACAAAAAGAAGAAAGGAGGAGTTTGGGACTTTGATGAAATGTTCCTGATTTTTCCCTCCCCGTCTATCGCAGGGCTCTTTGAGGTCAGAGTGCAGGAGTATCTTGACTCCATCAATGACAATGAACACCGAAGGGTCAACAGGTTTCTTAAAGGTTTGGGTAAGAATGATTATCATCACTTAGCTGAACAAGATATTGATTCAGTCCTATCCTAAAGTATTCTTGTGTGTTTTTTTTGGTTTCTCCAGGAAACAGAATGAAATTCCTTTCTAAGAAATAATGCAAAGCGACATGAAGAAGCAAGAAAATCCTGACCGCCTCCCTCAAACAGAAATATAATCTGAAGACTTTTTCTTGGAATTTATCCTCCTTCTTAAGGATTGTTGGCCAAGAAGCAGTGGTTTGGCTTCAAAAGTGACACGCTGAGAGATGTTTTGAGTGAAAAATTGGTCAGTCGTTCCAAAGAACCACTCCTTTAAGACACCTGGAACTGGAATATTTCAGGTCTTGAATGGGGAGGAGTACATAGATGGTACTTTCCGTTTGGGATTGTGTTTTATTCTGATGCCAAGTTTATTTTCAAGTAGGCCAGAAAGTTTAAACTAAGTAGTTCTATGTTACAGCCACAAGTTTTTCTGCTGGATATTGTTTTAAATGTTCCTAATCACAGTTTTCTGTTTCCAGTAGAGGGCAGTATTGAAGAAGAAAAACAGGTTTTCTTTTCACCATGCAATTTTTCCACCTTTTTTGGGGGGAAATTCATATTGATTAAACTACTTTGAATTAAAAAATGAATGGAGTGATTCATTCCATGCATATGAAACTTTCTCTTTACATTTGTGTCCCATTGTCGGCGGTAATTTCCATTTTTTTCTTCAATGTTTTTTTATTTAAAGGTTTTTATTTTAAAGAGCCTCAGCATGAAATTTAAATATTTACTTTACTTTTTTATGTGAGTCATGGAATTAAAACACTCAGGAAGAAAATCACCTCAGCTTCAGCAGAACACAAACACAAAGGACAGAAATGATGGCATATGTGTGGATACTTCCTGCTGAGCATTACTTAGAGACCCTAACCTGTTATCCTACCACTGTTATATACTGAGCTGAGTATTAAAGAACTCAAAAGGAATCGCACCATTCTAGGATCTAAAGGAATTTAAGAAAAGATGAGATACAAAGACATTAGCATCATCCAGGGAAGCTTTATACAGCATTTTTTTTTTAAGCTGTGGGACTCCAGTGAACTCAAGATGGAAGAAAAAAAAAAGAAAAAAGAAAAACACATAATAGAATAGTAGAGAACCTCCCCAGGGGTGGTCAGTCCAACAACATTATTCCAAGAGAGCAAGGAGTACACATCCAGAAGGTCACAGGAAACCCAGAGCAACATCTGAAGCACCGCAGGCCTCATTTGCTTCAGTCTGTGTCATGATTCAACAACAGGAAGAGGCTGGGGTAAAATGGCATTCATGGGAGAGAGAACGCTAATGACGACCAAAAAGAAAACCTCGCTAAAGTTTGACTAAAAAACATAATGATCCCCAAGATTTTTGGAAATTTTTTTGTGGACTAAAAGTACAAAACTCCTTGGAAAGTGGGTATCCTATTATATATAGAGAAAAAAAATTTTTATAAAAAAAATAAAATATCCTAACTATATACAGATGAGGCCATTTTTCCTGCTTTCTTATCTTAGCAAAAAGTAGTTTATTCAAGTATACTAAAAGTGCACTAATTTCATACTTAAAATCAGGCAGTGCACTTAGAGTTTACTTATTCTAAACTAAGTCAAGTGTACTTGACTATACTATTGTTTACTTTATTGTTTACTAAAGTATACTTTAAGTGTACTTTAGTAAACTTAAAAATGTCCCAATTTAGTTCTAAGAAGTATTACTTTAGTAATACTTCAAGTACACTAAAAGTACATTGTTCGGTATACTTTCTAAACTTATACTTAAGTATTCTTAATAGAATTTACTTCAAGTATACTACTTTTTGCTATGAGTGACAGAGGATCCTTAAGGAAAATGTTGCCCCATCGGTTTGTGTTCAAAGTGGGAGTCAAAAGACACCAAGTGTTAATTGTGTAATGTCAAAGGTGTATGGAAAGCAAAAAAGGATAAAACTTAATTATCTAATACAGTAAATATGAATTTACCAATAAATATTATTAAATTGCATTACATTGTTATTTATTAAAATAAATAACATGAAATGTTCCATTATTAAATTATCAATTTACTTTTTATTAAATACAAAGCTAAAGGATAAAATATATTGTTTCAATTATAAAATGAAATTAAGTAAGCAAAACCTAAAAAATATACATAGATATACATCAAATAAATACATAGCAATTGAAATAATTTCATGTATTCTCAGAGGCTCGACTGTCACTTTTATGTCAGTCTAGAACAATATATCATGATTCGGTTTGTTATTTGCTAAGCAAATTTATTTGTTAAGCACTTTCAAGTAAAAATACAATCAAGCTCAAAAGAAAAACTGACTGACCCTTCAGGTGAGATCATATAGGCCAATTGATTGGTGCCCTTTTGAAAATGTTTATTTGTATTTTTTTGCATTTTTCACAGCTACTGAAAAACCCAAAAAAGCATTTGAAAAGACAGTAGAAATTTCAGATGCTTGTAACCAATGAAGGAAGTCGAAGTGGTTTGTAGAGGACAGACTGGAAGGCAACACGAATACTTGAATACCACAAGAAAATCTCCCAAAAGCCACTTGCTACTTAAGACAATATGATTCATCCAAATACACAGAAAGCAGAATTACAAGTTCTTCATATCTTGTGAAATCTCGTAATCGGTACTTCACTACGCAATAAAGTTTTTACTGTTCGCTGGATACATCTTCTAGGCAGTAAAAAAAATAGATAATTGATAATGGTGCTGATTTAATGGCAATAAATCAAAATGTGTGTATGTGAAAAATGCAGAGTGAAAGGAAAAAAAAAAACAACACTTTTTTTCCCACCTAACTTTTATGCCAAAATGGTTTGGCCCCAATCTATAGTCACTGGGATTTAAGCTTGTAAAAGTAATGATTCCCTGCCTTTAAAGCTGCAAATCAAGCCTTGTCAAGCTGAGAAATAAATCCTTTGAGAGAAATAAAAATTATCTTCTAAAAAATAAAGGAACTAAGGCTTCAACAATGACAAGGAAGAGCTAATAGAAATGGATAATAAGCAAACAAAATCAACTAATTATTTAAAAAAAAATCTATCACAGTTTACTTACCCTGTATTAAGATCTATAAAAATCTATGTTTAAATATATTCTTATTTTTTAAATGGTATTTTATATTGTTGCAGATTTTTTCTCTGCTTGATGATATGCTATGGGATTTAACCATTCACCATTCGTCAAGATGACTTTACACGGTAATTTGCAGCTTATTTAGTAGCATGCTGGTTTTAATAAAACACATCTGGCTCGTTATCCATAGTAATTATCTGCCAGCTAATTTATCACCAACTTATTAACAACAGCAGCACTTTTGCCATTTTTTGTAGTTTCACTAAAAATGGCTTGGCTTAATTTTAATTTAAATTTATTGATCTCAGAGCTTGAGATAACTGAAGGAATTGAGAAATTTATTTCTGCATTTAACACATCCCCTTGGGGAGCAGTGGGCTGCCATTGTCCGGTGCCCGGGGGAGCAGTGTGGGGTCTTTGCTGAGCGACCCTGAGCGTCAGTCCGTGTTTGTCAATGGAATGAGTATTTTTACTCTTAACATAAGATGTTTAGATAAAATGCGCTTGAAATAAAACAATCCAATAATGTTTTCTTATTTTAAATCTAAATAGTTTTGTTTTATTGGCAAAATTTCTCTTTTATCTCCTCAATTCAAGAACAAATGCACTTATTTTAAGAAAAAGTGACTTATCTAGATTTCGATTTTTTCCAGTGTACTGTAAATTAAGCTGGAAAAGAAGCCTTAAGTCAAGAAAAAAAGGTAAAAATAAAAGTAAGTTGAAAAATTTAAAAGCTAAAAATAAAGTTAAAAAGTAAAGAAGCCTAGTTAACAATTATATTTAGATTTATAAATTAATCAGAATTAATCAGTATTAATGCTTCTAAGGGTATGTTGTACCAAAAAAAAAAAAATTTGTTTCTTTCACTCTCAGAGTGTTTTTAAAAAATTTATTTTAAGTTGGCGTTTCATGTTATTATATTGACATTAATTTTTGAAATCATAATATCCATATTTTTTTAATCTTACAAAGGTAATAAGGTCTTGTCCTGGATTCCAATAACACTATTGGCTGGAAATGTTGATTTTCAAAGTATTTCACTGATTGTCCTATAAAGGGTTAAGCTAACAAATGCAGTACCTTAAAATGTTAATTTTTGTAAATATCTCGACATATAATTTAATGGTAGAATATTGAAGATATGACACCTTAATAAAATAAAAAGTAATCCGTGCTCAGCTTTTATGACGTTGTAAATTTGCTGGCTGTTCTAAATAACTCAACACGCAGCCATTAACGTCTAAAACCCCTGGCAGGTGTTGTGTGGCTCGTTAATGTCATGAGTTCTCAGGTGTGTTAAATTTGGGTTTTATTGCACTCACCTCCTCTCATGCCAGTCATTAAAGACTCAGCATTACTCCTCCTGTAAATGTATTTATTCAATTTTTGCATATTTAGAATATCTGATAAGTGAAACCACAGGCAGTTATAAAAAAGAAATAGTATTTAAGGCTTTTAAAGGGGTTTAGAGTTGCAAGTGAGATTATACGGCTGTTTTCAACATTAGCAAAAGCAGCAAACACAAAGTAAAAGTGTTCAAATTTGCACCATCCTTCATTTATGTGATTGATAAAAAAGAAAAAAAGCAACAAATACGAGAATGTGTTAAAAAGCATGGGTTTGAGATTAAATTATTTAGCTCACCACATGGCTTCCCAAGTCCATTCATGTAGGGCAAGTGTCCACGACCCCTCTTTAACACACCTGGACCTAATAGCTGCCTGGTTAGCAGGCCTTTAATGAGCTGATCAACATAATGATAGGTTTGATTCAGGTATGTTAATGCAGAGGTGCATCTAAAGCCAGACATCCATTACTGTTAACTCATTGAAGACATTACAGAAATTGTTTCTGTGAGCTTCAGAATCAGAATCAAGTTTATTGCCAAATAGGTTTGCACTTAAAAGGAATTTAAAATGGTGTTGGTGGTGCAGACAAAATATATATATATATATATATACTATATGCAATATGTAGTACATAGCGATATGTACTATATACACGGTAGTCTGTGCGTTAATGTAACGCAGGTCTGGAGATGCTACATTTGTGTAGCTTGTTGGTCCCAGCGGGGTTATGGGCCTTGTTGATAAGGCTGGTAGCTGATGGAGAATATTTTTTGTACCCTTTTTGCTATAGAGGGTGGCAAAAATGTCCTCTTATTATGTAGCATTCTCTGGGGAAACATAAAGTTATGGAAATTTGTATTGCTATTATTATTATACAATTCCTTAACTTAACCCAAGAAGTAAAAAATACAATAAGCTTTTGTAATAAATCAAAGTCTAACCAAAACACAGCAGTAAATGATGTTTTCCTCGGATAAAAGGTATGTTTTAAAACTGATTCTAAGTGATGAATTAGACGTGGCGGAATCTGTCAGAACTAAAGAAGCAAAATAAAAGGCATTTCTTAACAGTAAAGTTGTCAGAGTTATAAATGTGAAAATCCCAGCATCGCTCCTTGAGATGCTCTCAGGTTGGGAAAGCTGAGGTGTTCTAGAACAGACAGGAAGAATAGATGTGATGAGTGAGGAGCTCTGACTCCCAAGCTCCAAAGAAGTATAGGGAACAGGCT